GAGTGCAAGCCATGATCTAAGACGTGCTTTAAGGATTAGATACAGTCTTAGCTAAAGGACTTGCTTGGAGACGGAGTCTGCAGAATTATGTAAATTCTCGTAGAATCTGCAGAAATCCGCGACACAAATTTGCACATATCTGATCTGCCATCTTCCTTTTTCTCTTTGTTGCTAACATTTGGAACATGCTACTCACTTTAAATATGGTAGAGTCATGTTCTTTATAAGAGAAGGACTCTTCAACACAATTTACCTTGCACTCTTCAGGATTTTAAATTTCCCATCACCTTTAGTATCAGCATCACAAAATGCCAGTCAAGTAATCCAAAAGAGAAAAGAAGCATCAGATATTTCAATCAAATAATCATGAAAAAACAGCTTCGACAAGGCCAAACCAATTGTCACATTATCATAACCATCTCGTCGACATCATCTAATAGTTCCAGATCCGATTCTTGAAAGTTGACAGTACCATCTCCAATAACTATCAAATATTTTAAGTTGATGAGGCACATCATACATTTGAAAAAACATAGTCGCTGCTAAAATCATTAGTTTTTGTTAAAAACACATCCTTCTTAGTTCTATTATTCAATAAATTATCAAACTATAGCCACCTCTGGAGTTTGTGAATGTGAGATTATTATCTGAAAGAAAAGAAACACAGAAAAGAAAAAACTTTAAAACATCAAGGACTGTATGCAATGCAAGAGAAGGAAATGGTAAAACAAAGAATTGCAGTTCATCTCCTTTCTGTTCAATAAAACCAGTTTGTCTTGGATCATATAATCTGATAGAAACTGCAGAAAAATTCTCTCCTTAATAGTAATTTATTCAGGAGTATCTGCGAAAAGCTTTACGTGAGTATCTTTCAATATTTATGGTTCAAATGACCCTACTTCGAAAAGCTTGATCCAGGGCGCACACCGCTGTATAAGCCTAACTAGAAATTTATTCAGGAGTATCTGCGAAAAGCTTTATGTGAGTATCTTTCAATATTTATGGTTCAAATGACCCTACTTAGAAAAGCTTGTTCCAGGGCGCACACCGCTGTATAAGCCTAACTTGTGAGCTATTTCAGTAATAATTATTCCTGAAGCCACGTGTTCATAGGGGTTAAACTCACCTCATGTCCTTGTACCGTGTCGATTTGGTTACATCAACTTCTTAACGAGAAAAAGGATAAAATTATCATCTGCAAAGGACCATTTTCAACCTATTTTTAGTAGGATCAAAACAAGTGTCGACATCTAATTGGCCAGCAATCGGTCAACAAACACCATTCAGTCTAAATGCTTCAATCTATGTGGTGAAGGGGTCAATTATAGCCCTTTTCATGTAGAATGGTTGTTCTGATTAAATCGGTACGATACAATGATGTGATGATTTTTATCTTGTGTTCATATTATTTTTCATTTTGATGTTCCGACTTTCTCATTCAATGATAGAAAATGCTCTAAAAGATGTCTGCAGCGAATCCATGGAATTGATGGCCAAAATATATGGAATTTTGGAAACAATGATGCATGTGCTGGTGTTTCTTCAAATGGATGCTAGAACTGCCTCAGCAATTATCACCACCCTTTCTAAAATAAGTATCCAGTGAGCAATTTCCAGCTCAAAATACACAAATTTTAATAGAGGTTGCTCGATACAACATCTGCTGCTTTACAAAAAACTCTTCGGGTTTGTTTCTCAAACGAATCTGTTATGAGAAATTTTAAAGCTGTTGCTTTTGTGGCTAAGTGAAGATGAACTTAAAACAGCAAGCTATGCTGTCATGACCACTACACAGATTCTCCGGGAATGTGAAGATGAATTGGCAAGCAACAAGGCTCACATCATGAAACTTACAACCAGAATCCACCATGCACGCCTGTGCTTAACGTTGCAGATTTGCTCATAACCCATCTTCAACTTGTATCTCCTGATCAGCCATAGCTTAATATAGAAATATATCCAAGCTCGTAAACTTAATGAGGAAGGTTCCATTGATGGTTTTTACAAGCACGGTTTAATCCTTCTTTGATCTGGCCTGTTCAATCTAAATTATTTTCTAGTATCTCATAGAAAAAATCTGAAAGAAAGGACTTCTGCATATCCCTTTCCTCTGAAATAAACTTTTCCTTATCTTATCAAACATGCTTGAAATTTTTATTATATCATATATAAAACATGTTCAAGTGCTAATTCAAAGAAAAATACAGGTAAAAACACACTTCTTATACATTTTATATATTACATTGCAAAATTTGTGATGCAGTAATGCAATGTACCATGCAAAACGTGAGCCAAACTAAGCTTTACCAGTTTTGCATTGGAAAAGTTTATGATGGCAAATAAGCTGCACCTTGTAGATCAGATCTTGGCTGCACTTGGGAGTTCGTAATCTCAAGTCTGTCTAGCTCTTGTATTGACACATGCAAATTCGAGCATCTCTCAAATAGAGTTGATCCAAAACGAGCGGATCACCTTCGCTAGAAATGACATGATTGATACCTTTCTGCTACACTTCTGAATCTTCAACTTCAGTACTTAACACGAAGCTGGGAAATGCCAAGGTTATATCCCTGGAAAGAGAAAAAATTGCAAAGCCTAAAGTTAAAACACTTGAATTGCGGAGGTACATTCTATATTGATCCTACTCAAGTAATAAGATGTAGGTGCAGTGTGCCTGTGCACAATTTACAAAATGAGTATGGAACTCGATCCTCACATTAAATACGGTAGAGTCATGTTCTTTATAAGAGAAGGGTTCTTAGACACAAATTCCATCCACTCTTCAGGATCAATTTTTCCATCACCTTTTAAATCTGCATCGCAAAATGTCTGTGGAAAAAAAGAGGGGAAATAGAATAATTAACCAGATAAGAATGAAACAAAGGAATTTGAAACAGCAGAACCAAATTGTACCTTGTCAACAATTGTTTCAACAACATCATCGGACAGCAATAGATCCGATTCATGCAGAAGTGCCAGTACCATCTCCTTCAACTGTTTAATAACTTGAGTTCATGAGGTAGAATATACATTCGGAAATACACACGCACACACTGCTGGTAATCATTATTTCCTTTTTTCACCAAATTCCCATTAATTATCTCATGGTATAAATTGTCAAACTTAGCCACTTTCTGCAATCATATATTTTTACCAGAGAGAATAAAAAAGCAAACCTTAAAACATGTCTGCAATTATCAGCTTGCTGCGTGTTATGGTATGTAAGAGAAAGAAATGGCAAAGAGAAGAATTGCAGAACTCACCTCCTCTCGTTCAATGAAACCTGTTTGCCTTAAATCATATAATCTGAAAGTAACTGCAGGAAACTCCCCCTTGATTAGTAAATTATTAAGGAGTCGGTGCAAAAAACGGTTAAGTGACATGCAGAAAAAAAAGTGTCTTTGTGTCTGAACTCAAGCCCCTACTTGTATATCATCCTAGAGGAACATTAGGCTTACAATGGATCTTGTCTTCAACTGGTGCATTTGGATGAAAGACACCCAAAGATCGAACAAATTCTCCAAACTCAATTACTCCATTGCGCTTGACATCAAATAAATCAAAAATCTGCAGAAGTGAAGCAAAGAGATGTAACTTAGAAAGATGGAAAAATGACATTGCTATATTATACGAAAAGGTTGCACTACATACCCTGTCTGCGAAAAGGTTCCTCCTGTTTTTGTTCCTGAAGAGTGCAAGCTGAAGTTCTTCCTGATGAGAAGGAGACATTTAAATGAGATTACACATGGTATTAATGAAGTCATGATTGTAAACATAATTAGATCAACATACTTGGATTATATACCTTGTGAATAAGCCCATCATCAATGACCGAACGACTTAATTTCTTAAAGAGTTCGTATAAAGCCTCTACTTCGCTAACAGTAACTGCAATAAAAAAAAAATTAGGAACAGGATCTAGCTGAAACTCAAACTAATGATTAGGAAAAGCAGCATTGTTTTCCTTTCTTTTCTTTTCCATGACAACATGAATTTTATGCTTCTTATGCCTTTCAGTGCCAATGGATTTGTCATTGTTGTAGTGACCAACCACACCAAAGGTTGGATTCACAAACCGTTCGATGTACTACTCTCTAACAAACTCAATTTCATGTCTGACAACTAGTTTTAATCTGCAAGATAGTGGGTACTTACAAAGATGTCCTAATATAACACAACACAACACTTCTCAAAAAATAGCTGGAACACATTGAAGAATAGCTAGGAAGTAAGCAAGGAAGCTTACAACTAGGATGTTGCAACAATGAGCCTCTTGAAAATGCATACTCACAGGGTGTTTCAGCAGCAAGTACTGTTGGCTCCTCGTACCCCGGTGTCTCTTTAGTTCTCTTTGAAGGGTAGCAACCCATGAAGACAACTAGCACCAGTCAGTGATAAAATTTCTTGGAAATCAGTGGGCTCATGCCAATTGAACTATTTGAAAACACCAACTGGTAATTTCACAAAGTGTAGATTGATTGGTGACCGAGCTTGATTATCTGCAGCCTTTTCGCAGCTCAAAACCTCTCTGTACAAGAGGCCAAAAAAAAGGTCATCACTAGACCAAGAGGTCACAATTGATTCCTTAAGAAAATGATTCTGGCATTTCAAGTGCATACTTTTTTCCTTTCATTTCAGAGAAACTTCGAGTTCAGGCACTAACTAGGGGTGAACATATCTTAGAGAAAGGATAAAATATTATAATATTAATTTTTTTCCATGAACAACGCAGGAAAACAAAATGTCTTCAATATCTGGGACCACAGGCCTACAACAACAGCATGACCTGATTTGATTTAAGATTTCAAAATCTTTAGTTTCTGGTATATTCCTCAGTTTTCTCAGAAACCGAAACGGGGAAGCGATGAATCTGGTCAAAATGTAATTTATCACTGCGTATTTAGTTAAGAAAAAAACTTTTCTAGCGCTGAATTCAAAAGTTAGGTTATGAAAATCAATTTAGTCAATTCTCTACCAAAAATGAAAATGAAAGATTCTTTCCATGATTCAAACTTTTGAAACCCAGAAATCTCGTCCTTTTTGGTTACTGAGAAAATGTAGAAGTGATCAAGAAACTCTTGACTCTAAAGAAACAACCAAAAGAACTGCATTAACATATAGAAAGTAGAACCTCCTCCTACCCTCGATCTCCTCTCACAACAATCAGAAGCAAGATTCAAGAAAACCCAATAAAGAAGACACAGACAACAAAGGAACCAACCAACCAACCAAAATCCCTTTATCCGCACACATGCCATGCAGCCAAAACAATAAACAAGAAGGAAAAACCATACCCTAAAGAACGATTTCTGCAACGAAAGAAGAAACTATACAAACCTTTTGCGAGTGTCTTGTGTAATCTTGGAAAGTCTGAAAGACAGCACTTTAATCTGTCCTTTCTTCACTGTAAAGTTTTCTGTACAGGAGGAACAGCATAAGATATTCAGGATCTTGCGTTTCTTGTGGCTTTAGCATATGACTTCAACAGCTTCCCTCTCTTTTATGCATGATTCCTGTCTCTGTCAATGCATTTATTGTTTCACCCATCACTTTCAGGTCCCCAATTTTGATGCATCGCATCTTTAAATTAGGGGAAATAAATAATATCACGGCATGAATTTTTTTTAAATAAAATAATTTAAATATGCATGCCAAATTTCCCGGAAAAATAAAATGTGTCAGCCACACTGTTTCTAGCCTAGTTATAAACTCTATCACCCTAATGCGTCAACCCGGGATTCAGCTAATCTAAAGTTGGACCAGTCTAAATTAAAAAAAAAAAAAAAAGAGTTTATTAGATCTAATTTAATTAAAATCTCGAATTCACCTGTAAATCAATTAGCTAGGGGTAAAACTCAGTTAAATACATGTTACTTCTTATTTTATCCAAACTATATCAGGCTAGGTGATTTTAAAAAAAATCAATTTATATTTAAATGATTTAAAAAATTAGATTAATTTAAGTTAATTCTCTCAACATGAAGTAGGTGTTATGTGTGATAGTAATGTAATTGTTTTCTAAAATATTTTTTATTTTAAAATATTTATAAATAATATTTTATTATTATTTTTGAAAATTTATTTTTAACATTTATTTTTTTATTAAAAAAACAAAAGGGACACTTGTTATAACTATAGTTTATAGAGATCTCCACGTACCATGTCTGATTTGCCGCCATCGAGAAAAAGATGCTGACAAGACCTGATCCCATACAGTATATCAAACTTAAATCATGTTTTTTTCATGAATAAATTTTAATTTAAATATAGCGTTTTTTTTTAATTTAAAATGTTATTTTAATATAAAAATACTTTAAAGATAATATTTATGAAAATCTCAAGCTCTGTTATTATTATTATTAATATTATTATTTGGAAGTCTTGAATATCTACCAGCGCGTTTGACTTCAGCTGAGATGGAGTCGGCAGACTGTCATGTTTTCTTGAATGTCGTATAAAATAATGTAAAGTCAGAACTTTGAATGTTTCCTTACGCCCGCTTCTGGTTAGATGATGAGGACGAAGACATCATTCATTTTTGGATCCTTTCCCCCTTTGCATGAACATTTAGCACTGTTTGCTTGTGCCGCTGTACTTCGCTTTTTATTTTTAAAAAATTTTAAATTAATTTTTTATTTTTAAATTATTTTAATATATATATATATATATATATATTATTACACTGTTAGTCTCCAATGTCACAGCAAAAGGCTACTGAAATGTATTTAGAAAAATATTGATAAAATTCAAAAGCATCAGTCACCTCGTATTTTTATGTTTGAAAATGTTTTTTAATTGTAAATCATTAAAATAAATATTTTATTTTTGATATTAGTATATTAAAATTATATAAAAAACATTTAAAAATATTAATGATATTATTAAAACTAAGGGAATAATCTATATCTCTTCTTAAAACTATATAAAACATGTATATTAAAGGGTTAAATTTTATTTTTTTTTTAAAAAAAAATATTTTTTAAAAAAAAAGTTAAACAAATTCAAAACTCAGGATTTTTATAGTGTATGAAAATATATCTAAAATATATAAAAAAATCATACAAAAATAGATTTTATTTAGATACTTCCATGGAATTTAGAAGTTAAGATCTTCTTGTGTTCCATTTATATCTTTGATTTTATTCAATATGTCTATGATTTTATTTAGATAATAAAGTAAAAAATAAAGTAAAACTTTAAACTCTGACTTGTTACTAATTAATTACTGCTTGGACTACTTCATGTCATCATGAAAAAAGAATATTTGAGTCAGTTTTTTTAAATTTAAATACTCCTAACATGGTTTATTTTTTCATATGTGATTAATGAAAAATAATATTTAAATCGTGATAGTCCAAAGTCATTTTCTTAGCAAATCATGAAAATGAGAACCTTAATCTTTGATCAAATGAACATCACTTATAATAATTTTTATATCAAACCATCATATATTATATCCATGATCTAGGATGATCTTAATTCAAGTCTTAGGATTTCAATTTTGAATTGTCTTCCATAACACTAATACACGAGAAAAAAATCCTAGTGTATTATTATTATTATTATTTAGCAGCTTTGAAACAAAAGGCAAAAAGGGTATGCGTTCCACCTGTGGTCTTATCCCGTGTAAGATGTGTTTCCACGTCAACCTAGTGTATTAATATGTATAAATTTCTCTAGATATTTTTCAAGATTTTGGTAGTATTTGGAATACAATAGTATTTGTTTTTTAAATATTTTTCACTTAAAAATATATTAAAATAATATTTTAAAAAATTATTTTTAATATTTACATATCAAAATAATTTAAAAATATAAAAAAATAATTTTAAATAAAAAGTTCAAATTTTACCTGGTTTTTATTTGGAATACAATACCAAACAATGCTTCAACTCATAAAGTCAAGAAACAAAGCAATTTAATTTAAGGTGAATGAAGATGTTGAACAAAATTATAAATAGGGTTTTTTAAAATATTTAATAAATATCCTTTTATTATTATTATTATATTAATAAGTGAGCAAATTCTTTAATTCATTTCATTGATAAATATACTTTATTTATTTTTATAATTTTTTATTAAATGAGGGTTTTGGTTATTAACCTCAAATGACCCTTACCAATAAATCAAGCCTTCTTGGTTATCAAACGACCCTATTAGGATTGCTTAGGATAGAATATTAAATCAAATAAATTAATAAAGGGACTGTGTATGACATCTTCATTCTATTATTTAATCTGCAAAGTCCAGCTTCTTAAAAAATCCGAAGATCAACATATTAATAATAATTAAATGAAAGACAACAACATTATTAATAGAAAAGGAAACTCATACGCATCTTGATATGGACATTATTCTCTCAAATAATTATATAATAGCACGACTGGCTATACATTGAGTGCAGTCTATAAAAAAGAACTTGGGTCGTTGTTTAGCTGATTTTATAGCAACATCATAAGCATCCGACTGCCCACTCTATAATCAAGTAGCTGTATGAAAACGTATTTTGGAATGATTTTTTTTAAAAAAATATTTTTTTATTTGAAATTATTTTATTATTATTTTAATATGCTAATACTCTTCAAATATTTATTAAACAAGTCAAACTATGTAGTTGTAAGAAATCGATCAATAGTATCTCGATGTGAGTGTTCAAGTTTTTTGATCTAAAAAAATGAATTTTTATTTATTTTTTAACCTTATCAAACAGTTTTCTTTCAAAGATTTTTTTAAAAAATATTATTTAATTATATTTTTAAATAAAAATATTTTAAAAAACAACAATTACCACGTACCAAATCAAGCTATGCCGAAACATACACATCAAACTGTTTTCTTGCAAGCTTTGTAAGCTGTATTTGGATAGAAATTCGATCAAATTAATCACTAAATTATGTTTGCTTAAACAAGATCAAGTGAAGCAGTGTTACTTGCACAGCTGGTGTCCATTTGTGGATGACAAGTTGATGTCTTATTGAATTGAATAAGAAGACTTCACGATCAAACTGATGCCAACCTTTTAAAGATTTCCTTCGAGTTTTTCCGTCTTTGAAAAGGTTCAGCCACTTTGTGGCTGATCTTTCACATCATTAAAAAAATCATAATTTTTTTTTATGGCCACCAAATATATGGTAGGCGCCATCTTGTTTATTCAATTTCCCCTTAATTTTTAGGGGAAATAATCACTCGGTTAATCTATCCTTATATTATGAGTTACTTTTCAATATGGTAAAAATAGTATTTTCCTTTAACTCTTAATTTTCATTGAAATATTTGCTTTTAAAGATATTAAAAAATCAAGGATAGCAATAGCTAGCGGTTTTTTTTTGTTTATATTCTATCTATTACTCGTTAGATAAAACATTTAGATATTCATAATTTATCTACCAAATTTCTATTATTAAGCTAGTATTTATTATTCAATAAAAAAATAAAACAACAATATAAATAGAGGTTAGGTTTAGGTTGAGTGTGATAATATCCATAACTTATCTATTATTCATATAGAGTGAAGTAATTATCTAAAACAAATTTCACTTATTTGGATTAGATGAGTGAGAATCAACCAAATTTAGATTAAGTTGCCTCCATCAAGGATTGAACAACATATTTTATAAATATAGAGGGCTCCAATGGGACTTTGTGAAAACTTTGAAGGGCAATGACCCCTTTATGATGCAACGTATAATGTGGACAGGGTTGTTGATTGTTAAAGTTATACAGTTCTAAATTATAGATAAAAAAATGTAGAGTTCTCAAACCTAAAATTACTGCCCTTAACTATAAAGGAGATTGATGAAATTCTCTTAAGAAAATAATATATTGTTTAAAAAATAAAAAATATTTTAATTAGTGAAATTCTAATTAAACTAAAATTTCTAAACTAAACAGAAAAAAACCCAATTACAACAAGGCAAAAAAATAAAAAGCATTAATTTCTAGGCTAGATTTAGATATGTTCCTGAAAGCTAATGAAGTTACCCTCACAAGCTTGTTAGAAGTAAGGTTTGAGAAGATTCTAGCAAAGTTTTAACCCGATTTAATATTAAAAAAAAAAGGTACACCTCATTTTTTTCCAAAAAGTTATTTAACTTGTCCGGACAATTCACTCTAGTCTCATGTAGTCCCACCCGTGCATGCATGGTCTATACCTCTACTTCGAATTATTACGGGTTAGAGCCTTGAAATGTACACGATGTTGCCTGCTACTCGCTAGCTAACAAGCAATGATGCCATGAAAAAACCAAGAATAAAGCGAGAAACATGATCAATAGGAGGAGGGGGTTCCACCCTAGTGAAAGTTGCTTTCCTGTTCATAGAACAAAACAGGTCTCATTGCTTTTATCGAACCAATGGAGAAGCTTCTTCTCCCCAAAATGATAAGAGTGTTGATCTGAAAATCTCAATTATTAGATGGGATTTGTAGTTTCTTTATCAAAGTAACGATCATCTAGTGCTTTTTCCCCACATTAAAAGTTGTCAACAACAGAATTCAATAGCTT